CTTAGTTCAGTTTTATTAAGCAATCTGGGCCGTTCATTATGCTTAGAATCTGACGGTTGATAGAAACCAACCTTTTCGCAAGTTTATATCAAGCTCGAGTCTCAGAGAGAGACAGAGGAAGAAGAAAAAAATAAGAAAAAAGAGAGATCAGAGATGTTTTTCCACATAGTGTTGGAGCGAAACATGCAATTGCATCCACGGTTCTTTGGTCGAAACCTTCGTGAAAATCTCGTCTCTAAGCTCATGAAAGATGTTGAGGGCACTTGCAGGTTCTCTTACCCTCTTTTCTCTCTTCACTGCTCCGATTCGGGATGTTTGTTCTCTCTATTTAACACGATTTATTAAAGTAGATATCGAAAACCCTTTTCCTCAATCCTCAGTCTTGTTTTTAGGGCTCGACTTCGTTTTTCTACCGAATCTTGGAAAAAAAATTGCATCTTTCTCGAAACCCTAATCTCTGTTTCGTGTAATTGGTTGGGTTTTGAAGTCAATTCGAGGAAACACTCGTGAATTTAGCTAAATTTGGAGTCTTTTCTGCTTCTTGTTCCTAAAAGTCTCTTCTCTTTTTCAACGAGTTGTGCAAACAGTGCGAATTGGCAGATTTTGTATACTAAAGGGATTTCTTTTGAAGCCTTTTAGTTAGTTAGTCTCTTACATTCATTGTAGGCTCATTCATATTGATGTGCGATTTCAAATCTATCGGATCCACAATCTTGCTTCTTGTTGTGGATTTGATGCTAACTTTTTTCTGAAGTATAATGTGGTGCATCATAGTACAATGTTTGTGAGCTCATTATGCAAGTGAATGGAATGGATCAAATTCAGTTTAGAATTTGTTGCTTGTGACTATAAGTCTCTGTGTTTTAAGAAAGTAGACTTAAACAGCGGAATTTGTGAAATTCGTAATAGTTGTTCTTTCTTTAGTATAGGTTTGGTTAGATTTTTGGTGTGGCATGTAAGAAGGCTAATGAGCGTATGAAATTGATTGAGTGTTTGAGTATGCTCCATGGTGTAGAACAAAATCGATCAGAGAAGTTCTCATTTTGCTTATCTATTGCTTATCACTAAGTCTGTGTTTTAGCAACTAGTTAAATCTGTATCTAGAAAGATTTGTTTTTGAGGCTTCTAGCTAGTCCCTGCTTTGGATTTAAGATGTGCAATTCATCATTGCAATAGCATGTTGATGGCTTCATGCTAACTGCAACTTGTTTGCCTTTTTGTTGTTGTGGTTTGGACAGCGGCCGTCATGGGTTTGTAGTGGCGATAACTGGAATAGAAAGCATAGGAAAAGGTTTGATTCGAGATGGGACTGGTTTTGTCACCTTTCCAGTTAAATACCAATGCGTCGTCTTCAGACCTTTCAAAGGAGAAATTTTGGAAGCTGTTGTCACTTTGGTCAATAAGGTATATACATAGTTTTGTGTTAGCTCAATGTCTTAAGTGAAGAATCAGTCTGTGAAGTTATGGAATTTCCTAATATATCACAGATGGGATTCTTCGCTGAAGCTGGCCCTGTTCAGATTTTTGTGTCCAAGCATGTAAGCTTACGATCTTACATCGTGATTTTGACCTCTAGCTCTTTTTTCGTTCTACGTGTTTATATTTACTCTACTTTTCTCCTCTTTTCAATCACCGCAGTTAATTCCAGATGATATGGAGTTTCAGGCTGGAGACATGCCTAACTATACCACATCAGATGGATCAGTGTGTTTCTTTCTCTAATTCTTGTTTCCGACACTGTTATTGGTGTTCATGGATCTTCAAGAAACCCAATTCTTTCTGCAGGTTAAGATCCAGAAAGAATGTGAAGTGAGACTAAAGATTATTGGAACAAGAGTTGATGCCACTGAGATCGTACGCATCATCTTCATAACTCAATTTACAATGCAACTTATAGTTTAGATTTTTGCTGGGTCTTGGCTAGGGTCTTCAAGCGTTTTGGCCTTGAGCTGTGTGTTCTCTGGATTTATTCTTATAAGTTTTACACATTTGTCTTTGATTTTGCAGTTTTGTGTGGGTACGATCAAAGACGACTTTTTGGGAGTCATAAACGATCCTGAAGCCGCTTAAGCAAAGTTTCAGGCTGGTTTCGATTTTGTTCTCTGTTTCTTTTACAGAGAAAGTTGTACTATTATAGTCCCATAGAAGTTGAAATTTTGGATCAAAGATTATCTGGAATCGTTGGGAGTGGATCGTAAACAAGCTTGTAGGATTTAACTGAATGCGAAGTTTAGTGAACTTTGTTCTTGTTCAAAATTGTTGTTTCTGTTTACATTTATAATTTATGAAAAAAAGTCCATTGACAAATAAAAAGTTATGGTTCATTTATCTTTTAAAAATATTTTTCCTTTTCTTTCTTAATTGGTATAAGAAATATTTAGTGTACATTTGATAGGATCATCAGTTGCCTCTCCCATCCATTACCTTTCCTAATAGGATTTGTTTTATAGTTAAGACTCAAAAGAAATATATACGGGAACCCAAAATTGACTAATTAAATTAAATCCCAATTTGAAAGTGATGTAATTTATACATTATATGCTTAACTATTTGGATATTTTAATCTAAAGATTATTCTTCCTAGCCCATGTATTTTTTGTTTTTACATCTGAGTTAACACCACTTCGCTATTATCCCTGTTTTAGGATTTTGGGGGAGTTTTGACCAATAAAACTTATGTTATGCATCAATTTTGTAAGAAATTATACATAAAAATAATACAAATTTCTACGTGTACAAAATTACAAACTAAAAATTTAATAAAAATTTCAATTTCAATTATAAAGGGTAAAATATTATATTTCTTATTTACTAGGTATTTGTACATGCAATGCACACGTTTATGTTTACATAAGCCTCTGATTTCAAGCAATATGGTTACCTTGAAAATTACTCGACTCAGTATTATATGCTATGGAAACTAGCAAAGGGTGAGAATTTCTCCACACGTATCACCACTTTCTTCTTTGATACTCCACACTTAATCATCAATTTGTTTTGCGATGGTCATTGCTACTAATGGAGTTGGACACAATCACTCAATAAAATATTTTCACAAGACAATGTGTATAGCGGCAGCTTATGATGTTTACACCATGTGGGTCGTCTTTTCATCCTGGTTTTGTTTGGTACATGTGTTCTTAAGCCATATCGTTTTTTTCATTGAAGGTTTGACTCCTATCATGAAATTTTTCTCCATATGCTAAAAAAATATTTCTTAATAAACTTAACTCGAAAAAAACTTTGTTACTCAACTCAGAAATAAGAAAGGTACGTACTAACTGAAATTTATGGTGGTTCCGACGATATGAGAACACTTATTGATTTAGTTTTATAGGGAGCCCAAGGAATGCGTAATGATTTGGAAGAACTAGATTTTGGCGCCATTGTGGAGGGTGATGGAAGCGGTTATGAAATACTTGGTTATTAGTAAAGCTTCACTTGTTTTTTCTAAGATTTTTAAGTAGGAACGATAGATAATTTATCTAAAAATCTTGCTTTTTCAAGATTTNGGGTTCGTTCCTCGTATTCTTTAGCGACTGTTGCTGCATATGACGGAGTCTAAACCGCCTATGCAGTCTCCACATGTTGCAAAGTATGCATCAACTTTGTTTTTTTATCTATTTTTAAATCTGTTTAAAAGTAAAATCTATTGTTTTACAGACTCTTCGAAGAATGATGGGATATAGACAATATTGTCCTGACTGTCCATACTCACAAAGAAAAATGAGACTACGGTCCGTACTGCCAGTATAAAAAGATTGATCACGGTTTCAGACGTTGTTTGTAAGTAGTGGCAAAAGAATGGTCTGAACCCTATTTAGAATAACCCTAAAATTTGTGTTGGTTGAATGGTATCGCTAGATCAAATTTCGATATAAGTATTTTCAGTCGTATAAAGAAATAGAGTTTGATGAATCTAGCAATGGTTTACCTAAGTGAATGAGGCACTTGTCTCCTTTGTTTATAGGTTTATAGGAAGGCCTTACGGTTGCTATCATAATTTTCGCCGCGCGATTGTAATTAGCCCAACTAATTTAAATGAGCATGTACCAGCTCTAGTGTTAGTATAGTATTGGTTCTTCAAAATATAATATTATCACTTATTTTTCGTCCTTCGTTCGGAAGTCAAATTGCTCAATGTATATAACTCTAGAGGACGGAACCTACACATCAACAACCAAAGAAACACAAAATCAAAGCGCGTATACTACCTAATTATTAACTTATTATATATAATCGAGCTGAATTACAAAGTCGGATGTTTATACTTTATATGATGTTGAATATATTCAACTTTTGTTCTTTTCTGGGCTGTATTTGATATATTAAGCTATTATTAACACTTAAATGTTTATCAAGTAGATTATTTACCTAGTATATGATTTCTTACCCTTTTCTTAATATGCAACAGAGAAGAATAGATCACAAATCTTATAGAGTCGGAGTCTTCTGACATGTCACATGAGTGTGTGAACCACGCGCATTGCTATCATTGTATTGGCCTGATTATTGATTACATTTCATGAACCCATACTTGTTTTCTAGATTTGTAATCTTCTTATATAAAAAAAAAATATGTTATAGAAGAACCAAAGAAAAGGGAATGT